TGGAGTGTCCTGCCTGCACCGCGCCGGGTGTTCTCGGGGCGACACGCTCTGCCTGCTCTTGTGCCGTGATTTCCCCCGTTGTTGTGCTACTGCCTGCTTCGTTGTACAATTTCCTGGCACTTCAGATGCAAGACTGACATCTGGGATATTTTTTTAATGCGTGTATTTTGAAATGTCAAGGCCAGGAGGGCGGTGTCTATTGCTGGCTGGAGGTCTGTGTGTCCCTGGGGCTGAGCTGGAGCAGGGCTCTGTCCTGCCAGTTTTCACCTTGCCTGGGAGATAACGGAGCTCGCAGGCATCTCCCGGATGAGATGATTGCCTGGCCAGGGCCCCGTGCGTTACGCAGATGCTTTCGCCTGTGTCCGTGTTGTCGTTCGCAGAAGATGAAGCACATCTGTCGGGGTGAAAGCAAAGAGAGGCCCCTGGCTCCAGCCTGTGCATGCTCTGCTGAGTTGGGAACCTGCACCGGGCATTTCCTTCGCTTTTTGCTTCCAAAGTTCCCCCCACCTGTCACATAGCAGCTACCAAATGTTTTCTCCTGGCAAGGCTTTCCACAATCCCCCTCTTGGCTTTCCTGTTGCCTGGTGCTGCCTGAGTCATCGTCATCGGTATGCAAAGAGCCCGATTTCTGCCAAAGGTGTCATCGAAAATTTAATCTTCAACACTTGCCTGTCTCCTGAGCGCCTTCCGAGGTTCCGTCCTCATCTTGTCCTCGTGCAAGCTCTGCAGGGTGGGGAGAGCACCGGTGTGGTTTTGGTTTTTATGAAGCGATGCTGGTGCTTCGGTGACAAGGGAAGGAAGGTAACTGCTGCAGGTCGCTGGCTGCTGCAGAGCGCGAGGTGCAAGAGGGCTGTTCCCTCCAGCGCTGCTCCTGCCCAGGAGACCTTGTCGTACGCGGTCGGAGGCTCAGAGCACTCTTACAAGATCAGAGAGGGCAAAATTTAGTGAAGCATGGAGGAGCTTTCCAGAGGAGCTTGTTCCCTGCTCTAACTGCATTAGGCTGTGATCTGTAAATCTCCCTTGGAAGCAAAAGAGAGATATCCCATAATCTAGCATGAACACATTTTATGGAGGTGCCCAGCATTTGCGATCCATTTAAAACCCCGGGTATTTATTACTTTTTTTTGTTTTCCTCCTGCTTGGTGACAATGATTCTGGACACTCTGTTGACCCTCGCTGGTGGTCACTAGCTTCAGAATAAGGCGAGAGGAAGGTGAGGAGGAGGAAGGGGTGTGGGGGCGGTACACACAGCCAGAGCAGGCACCGGGCTGGCGGGGGCTCGTTTCAGCCCAAGCCCATCTCGCTTGGTCACTCTGTATCCTTTCCGTATTTCCCTCCCCACCCCTGACTGTGGAGCTCCCGTGTGTAGGTGGGAGGCAGCAGGTCATGGAGACCGCCACTGCCCTGCGAGGATGTGCAGAGACAGCAGCAGTTGGGTTTATTGTCACTGCAGCATTAGCCCAGGAGTTGTCCCAGCCCAGGTTCTGTGGTTTCCCGATGGTGCCACACACATTGGGAGATCGGGAGAGTGGGCTGGAGCCAGGAACACAGTGAGATTACACCAGGGCTGATGTTCTGATCCAGCCAAGCTGCTGCTGTCTGAGACTCTTTAAAGCTCGATTTTCATTTCCCAGCCTTGCTGCTCGTGCCCGAGCTGGGTCACCCGAGGTAACGGCAGGGACCTTGGGAGCAGCAGAGCCCCCTCAGGGGTTTGCTGCCACTGCTGTCGTACGGGGTCTGCTTTGCGCTGGAGCCCCCATGGAACCGACTGAACCTTCCAGCCTCACCCCTCTCCCCGCTCCCTGAAAGAGGGGAATGCTTTTTTCCGGGTTACTGAGCCGTGTTGTGGCCCAGAGGGGTGAGGAAGGAAGAGTGGGACAGGAGGGAGCGGTGATGGGAGCATCCCTTGGGATGCAGCGAGCGGTCGGTTAGTTTGGTGTCAAACCTTACCTGGCGCTAACTACCCCCCTGCGGGTCGTGGCACGCGAGCATCAGCCCGTCAGCGGCTACAGGGAAGCTCCTGACAGGCAGAGCTGACGGACATCGAGCGCCAGGGCTCTGGCCCTCTGCTCTAACAATCCGTGCAGGGCTGGGTGGTGGGAGCGGAAAGGTCCGTGGCAGGACGGCTGGAGGAAGCGTGTTACCTACGAAGAGTGTGTTTTTCATGTGGTTGAGCAAAGCTGATGTTTTCCTGCTTGCAGATGAAGAGACAGACACACAGAGTGGAAAGAGACTTGGTGAGAGTCACAAAACAAAGTCAAGAATGGCTTTTCAGAGTGTAATCGGTGTTTAACTGCCTGCCTGTGCTGCCCCTCTTGTGGCTGGGATGAACATGGTCCGTGGTGTTGCCCATCTCTGGTGTTGTTCCCGTGTTTCTGTTGTATTGATGTTTCTTCTCCCTTCTGCAGGAAAGGTTAAGATACGTGCTGGTCTCGCTGTTGGTGCTGCACGGTACAGACTCCTTCTACGTGCCTGGCGTGGCTCCCATCAACTTCCACCACAATGACCCCGTGGAAATAAAGGTAGGATGAGCTCAGATGGAGCTGTTAGTCCATTTGTTTTACATTTTCTTATGTTTTATTTTTTGCCTTCTTTATATCATAGCAGCTAAGTGGGACTAGAAAGTCAAAATTGTGATCCTGTTACTAAAATCTGGGGGGCAGACATTTGCTCTTTTCCACAACATTCCTGTAGGGTGTGGAGGATGAGCAGCCCTCAGGTGGTCACTGTCATCATCCTACCCCGTAGTTCCCAACACAATTCTTTTTTCTTGCTTCTGATATCTTCCACCAAACTCCTTCAGCAGTTGCACCAAAGTCCTCAAGATGTTGCTGTGTTTGGGAAAAGACCTCTCCTTCTCGCTGGAGCTTTGAAGTGAATTTAATCAGAGATTTTTCTCCAGTGTTATACTGACTCTCCAGGTGCCTAAAGAGGGTGGGCCATTAGGTGCTGGGTGAACAGCAGAATAAAGAAGTGGTTTGAATCCGACCTTTTCAGTTTTCTCTTCTACTCAGTCTGCACATGTTGTGTCTCCAGTCAAGTGAAATCCATGATAAATCCTTTCTGAGTGCAGGCATTTGTCCTTGAGCTTGCTCCGAGCTGTTCCTGCCCAGTCCTACCGGCAGTGAATGATGGAACTGCTCCGCCCGCACAGGAGAAAGCCGGGCTTTGTTTCCAGACATCAGCAATTTATGGCCCATTTCATTTATTTTTCTAAAGCTGTGGCCTCTGTCTCAGCAAAATCCAGCGCCCCTGGGGACCCGGAGGCGGGCTGCTCCCACTGAAGCAGGGTTTGCTCGCTGGCCGCAGGCTGCCAGATGCAGGCTATTTTTAAGCAAATGAGACTTGCCTGTGGCTACAGCGAGCTTCCCAGAAGAAGGGGGCACTGGAGGGGCTGCTCTCAAAGGGATTTCAGGAGCCAAATGCTTCCCCAAGTGACAAGGCAAGGCAGCGTTTGCCAGCGCTCCGCTAATAATTGAGCCTGTCTGCGTTACAAAACGCTCCTGTTCTTCCGAGCCAACTGTGGCCTTGGCTGTCACGGTGTGTCCCTGCACTTCCCCTGTGCCATGTGGTTTGTGGGAACTTTCCAGAAATGTTTGGGTTTTGTCACCGCCAGTTGTCTTCCCAGTCTGACGGCTCTCTGGCTTTCCCTCAGAGATAGAAGTTGCTCAACTCTTGGTATCACTAGAGGCCAGACCTCAAGGTCCAGTGTGTCATGAATTTTTTTTTTTTTGGGAAACAACTGCAGGCTTGTGTGAAATGTGACTCTTGAATCTCTTTTGAGCTCTTTGTTATTCCTTAGAACTCCACTGAGTCATAAATTTGTGAAATCAATCCACCACACTTCTTCCTTCAAGTGTTTATCTGTGAATGAATTACTGATAAATGATAGTGTAGAGAATGTGCAGCTAGGAATTGTGCAAAAGGAAACCAAGCTGGAGCTCTCCCAGGAACTTCTGTCTCCTTTTTTTACAGCTCCCAAAAGTCAGCTTTATGGAGGTGTCTTGAAGTAAGCTTCAGCTTCTGGCTGGTGCTGAGGGTAGGAAACTATCCGAGTTCTTTCATGGGGATAATCCTTCCTTTCTCCCTGCAGGCTGTGAAGCTCACCAGCTCACGAACCCAGCTGCCGTACGAGTACTACTCGCTGCCCTTCTGCCAGCCCACCAAAATCACGTACAAGGCGGAGAATCTGGGTACGTATCTGCTGAGCAGCATGTTCCCCAGCAGTAGGCAGGCTGCCGCGTAGGAGCTGTGTGAGGGGGTGTTCGCAGGAGTAAAGCAAATGCGAACGTCACCTCTAATAAACTGTTTGTGGAGAGGGTGCTTCCTCTGGTTTGTTAGATGCTGGCTGTTTGCAAACTGGGATGCGCATTTATTGTAAAGAGGAAACTCCTTTCCTGAAGGAGGGTGTGTAATCTGCTTCGTCAGTAGAGCTTGATACTTAGAAAAAAATGACTGAACTCTCCTTGGGTCTTAATCTGGCATCTGTGGTAACAAAGGAGACCTGCTGTCACCATGCCAGTGGCACAGCGCGCTGCCAGCGCCGGGCAGGATCCACGGCAGGACGCCTGGCAGTCTCACCCTGCCTGTATTTTCCTGTTTTCCAGGTGAGGTTCTTCGGGGGGACAGAATTGTAAATACACCTTTCCAGGTTTCCATGAACGTGGAGAAGAAATGTGAAGTTCTGTGCAACTTTCCCAACAAGCCGGTCACTCTGACGGTGGAGCAGAGCAAGCTGATCGCCGAGCGCATCAGGGAGGATTACTACGTCCACCTGTGAGTCCCCTCAAGCGTGGCTTTGTGTCAGCGGGGATTCTGTGCTGCGGACAAGTTTGATCTGAAATCTGTGTTTTCAGCATTGCTGATAACCTCCCTGTGGCAACACGGCTGGAGTTCTATTCCAATCGTGAGGAAGAGGAGAAGAAGAAGGAGAAGGATGTGCAGTTCGAGCATGGATACAGGCTTGGGTTCATGGACGGGAACAAGGTAGAGAATCCAGATGGTGGCTGAGGGGTGCCCGGAGGAGCTCCGGGTGTTAGAAGTCTGCCAGGGAGCATCAGAATTGGGAATGGCAACCAAAAGGTTTTGTAAAGAGCAGAAGTATGAGAGAGGGGTTCCTTATTGGGAGAAGCGGGTGGGTGCGGGACTCATGGTACGATAGCCAGGGATCCTAGCATTGGCTCCCAGAATAACGTTGGACAGCTGCGTGGGGTGGTTTCCCTTCAGCAGAACAAAGGTGAAGTACCCCCAAGGCTGGCTGATCATGGGTGGTCTTGGAGCATCTTGTATTTAAAAAAGAAAAAAGTAAAATGTTTATTGGAGGAAAAGCTGCTTAAGTTTGCAAATGGAAGCTTAGCACGTACATCCCCGCAGATGTTTTCTGTGACTGTGTGCCCTAAGATCAGCTCTTGCACTTACCAACACATCTGGTTATCTTACTCAAGTTTTCGGTTGCCCACGCAGCTCCGATCGCTTGAGCCTGTGTTCTGGGGGTGAGTGAACCCGCTGTGCCAGCTGAGGTCACTGTCCTTTGTTCACACAGCTTAGGACAGCTGTGGGCCCCCGCAGAGCCCGGGTAACGTCTGTCTGTCTGTCTGTCTGGTAGAAGCAGCAGGCAGGAAGCTGGGGGCTGTAGCTGCTGAGGTCTGTCCAGCCTAAATGCAGTGACTCTGCTGCTGCTGAATGCACGTTTGAGGTGTGAGATGATATTGTATTTTCCAGCCAGAAACAGACTGACATATTGTCCCTGATGCTTGGAGTGGCTGAGGTGTTACCTTTTCAACATCTCTGTTCTCTCCTCTTGTTCTTTTCACCCTGGAAGTTGCTGGCCTGATCCTCCTCGGTAGCACAAGGCCTCTGGGAGCAGTTGCAGTTTTTAGGTCTCTGCTCTGAAGCTGCTTTCTCCAGCTCTTGCTTCTAAACTTTGCCTGTTCCTCCCTTGGGGTGCTAACTTTTTATTTAATGTCGATCTGTTTTAGTTCTACCTGCACAACCACCTCTCCTTCATCCTTTACTACCACAGAGAGGATGTGGAAGAGAACCAGGACCCCACCTACAGGGTTGTACGCTTCGAAGTGATTCCCCAAAGTATTAAACTAGAAGGTGAGAGACTCTTTGGGAGGGAGCAAGGGAGAAGAATCTCTTGTAGGGCCAAGAGTTGAACGCCACTGGTGCATCAGTGTGACAGCTGTTGCTTCCCTTGTGGTCTCGAGGCACAGAAAGGAGGCAGTTTGAATATAAGAATGATAAACCCCTCTGTTATTAAGGAATTACCAATAATAGAGAGAGATCCTTGAAATGCACTCCATGGAAAACTAATTCATACAAAAATTGGAGTTTGGGGGTTGGGTGGTTTTTTGCACTGTGTCATTTAGCATGAAGTTTGTGTGACATCATCTCTTGTTGTGCCCCAGATGTCCCCCACTGTGACACTGCGTGCCAGTCTGGAGACCCACAGAATGTTTGGAGCTGTTGTAGGGGGACCGAATGTTAAAAATAACGGTTAGGGGAAAACACTTCCCCCTCAGTGAGCCCAACGTGAAGCAGGTGTCTGGAAGGGAGGTTGCTCATCGTGTGTATCACCCCGTGCACCTCTCCCCTGGCCGCAGCCGGCTCTGCTGGAGAGCTCTTGTTTCTCAGCGTATCATGTGGGACAGAGGATTTGTTCATGATCTGGATCCTTGTCTTCAGAGCCTCTGGCTTGTGGGGAACAGCCCGATGCATAGCTTTCCTTAAAGCGTGTTAGTGGTGCTCCACCTCTGGTCGGAAGAGTAGTTCTGCAGACTGCAAAGTGGGAGGGAATGGAACGAGTGCCTCCCCTGCAGAACTGGGAGGAGTTGCAGCCCAGCGCCTCGGGGGCACCTGGGGCCAGGATGGTCAGTGGGAGCGGGGGTTCCTCCCGGGACGGGCTGACCCCGTGCCGTGTTTCCCTTACAGACCTGAAGGCTGATGAGAAGAGTATGTGCACGCTGCCTGAAGCAACAGGCTCTGCCCCTCAGGAGATAGATCCTTCGAAAGAGAACCAGCTGCTCTTCACCTATTCTGTGCACTGGGAGGTGAGGGGGAACAGGACCTGGCTGGCAGCTTGCTGGCCTGGTGGCAGTTAGTGCTCCGGAGTCTGTCACAGGGGCGGTGTGGAAGGACGTTGGGAATGTGCTGGTATCACAACAACTCTCCTGTTCTTTCAGGAAAGTGACATTAAATGGGCTTCCCGCTGGGACACCTACCTGACCATGAGTGACGTGCAGATTCACTGGTTTTCAATCATTAACTCCGTTGTGGTCGTCTTCTTCCTTTCAGGTGAGTGAGGTGTGTGGGGTGATGAAGGCTTTGCCATTCATCTGCAGGGAACTGTCCCTAAGCCTCAGCTGGAGGTGGCCCGGGAGGATGTGGCCGTGTCTGAACCTCATCGGAAGGGGCAGGAAACGAGCGTTAGCACCTGAAACCTCCTGGTTCAGGCAATGCCCCATGGAGCCAGACAGTCACCCGCTTCTGCTCTCTGCTGGGGTGGCAGGGGGAGTATAATGTGGTTAACACACATCTTGGGTGTCTGTATTTAAGGAAAAAAAGCCCCAGGAAAGCCACAGTGCCCTGTTCCTGCTGGAATACTGCCTCCCCTGCTCCCTGGGGATTTGTTTCTGCCTTTGCTGGAGGCTGGCGGCGATGGCTGATGACTCAAGGCCTCCTCTCCCAGAACCACGTGGTGGTGGGAGCCGTGGAGTTGCCCAGCGTGAGAGCAGCACGGCCACGTAGCAGCCTCGGAGCTAACCTCAGGTCGTGCTTGTTTGCAGGTATTCTCAGCATGATCATCATCCGGACCCTCCGGAAAGACATCGCCAACTACAACAAGGAAGATGACATTGTACGTGTGTGTTCTCGGGGCTGGATGGGAGGGGAGGGATGCAGCCTGTAGAGCTGGGTGTAGTGTCTCTGTCCTTGGCCCTGGTTTCCTTTGAGCCCTGAAGCTGGGAGGGGCAGTTCTGTCACCTGCTGTCACGACACCGTTGGCTGTCTGTGTACAGTGGCAGATCACCGGTTTAGATGTCTGCAGACCCAAGTCATGACTGCAGACAGCTCCATAACTGTGGGCCCTGGCACTGGCAGTTCAGGTCTTCACTGTTTCAAGCTCAAGAGGAAAGAAGTTCAACTAGAGTGATATAATTTAGTAGGAGAACTGAAAACAGCGAAATTAATGTCTGGGGCTGGCTGTGACAGGACCTTCATTTCCACTGTTAGACCGTGTCTGAAAAACTCCTTTTCCTGTTGTTGCTACAGGAAGATACGATGGAGGAATCTGGTTGGAAACTTGTGCATGGAGATGTCTTCAGGCCTCCGCAATATCCGATGATCCTCAGCTCTCTCCTGGGTTCTGGAATTCAGCTCTTCTGTATGATCCTGATCGTCATCTGTAAGTGGCACGTGCTGCGTGGGGCGGCTGTAACGAGAAGAGGGACGGTGCTCGAGGGCGTTTGTTGGCTTCAGCCTGCGCTCCCCTTAGCTTCAGGGAGGCTGCGTTAGGACCGCTTCATGCTGCAGGCCTATGTGCAGCGTTTCTGGGTCTCCAGGCAGCATTTCGCAGCTGGAGGCACCTCTCTGTGCTTCTGTTGCCTGTTATGAGCCTGGGTGACAGTGGGCTGAGGGACTTCTGCACACGTGTGCCTTGCCTTCTGAGCTGCGCCTGCTCAGATCTCTGGGGAAATGGAGCCTAAAGCAGGGTCTAGAGCTGAGGTCAAACCTCTGGCTCGCTCTCTCTGGCCGGTGCTGGGGCTGTGGGGGTGTGAGGCAGGGATTCCAGGCAGCTGGGGGCTGCTGATGGGCTGGACCCCGTTCTCCAGACGTACACCAGAGCTGCTGGTCTTTGTCCTTTTTTCCCTCTGCAGTTGTTGCCATGCTGGGGATGCTGTCGCCTTCCAGCCGGGGCGCGCTGATGACCACCGCCTGCTTCCTCTTCATGTTCATGGGGTAGGTGTCTCTGCCGGTGTCTCTGCCGGCTCCCCGCAGCAGCGCTGTCCTGCCCGCCCCTCCTCTCCCTCTCCCCAACAGCGAAAGGTCATTTTCTTCCTCTTGGCTTGTTTCTGTCCAGGGTTTTTGGAGGATTCTTTGCTGGCCGCTTATACCGGACTCTGAAAGGCCATCGATGGAAGAAGGGAGCCTTTTGTGTGAGTCTGGTGGTTATTCTGTGCTGTTTATCCAAGTTTGCTGATGGTGGGATATGTTGATAAGCTCCACGCGTGTTTGTGGGTAGCAGGACGCAGCCCCGGCTGTGCTGCAGAGCTTTGGGGTGGATCGAGTCCTCATGGCTTTACGTGACAGGGCTAACACCAGAGCACGTGCTGCAGGAAAGCAAGAGGATTGTCCAAGATCCTCCCCACAGCCTGTCTGCTCTGTGTTGGTGCTGCAGCAGAAGGGATCCTCCCTCCACATGTGCCTTGTCCCAGCAGGGGACTCGTTAGAGAAATATCTGGCTGCGAGTCCCGCGTGTTCTCTGAACCTGTCCTTGCCTTGCAGACAGCTACCCTGTACCCGGGCGTCGTCTTCGGGATCTGCTTTGTCCTGAACTGTTTCATCTGGGGGAAGCACTCCTCCGGAGCGGTACGTACTGCCTTCGTCCTGGAGCCTGCTGGGCGGGAGGAGGGGGACTGGGCTGTCGGGGACTCGCTTAGTTTCACGGTGTCTTTCTAAATGTGGATGGCGATGCTGTGGTCAGCTGGAGGGTTGGTCTGGCAGGTGAGTTCAGTTCCCAGGGCGGGTGAGCCGTCAGCCTCACTTTGTGACACTCGGTGCCTTTCCAGGTGCCTTTCCCGACCATGGTGGCCTTGCTCTGCATGTGGTTCGGGATCTCCCTGCCCTTGGTCTACCTGGGTTACTACTTCGGATTTCGGAAGCAGCCGTATGACAATCCTGTGCGGACAAACCAGATTCCCAGGCAGATCCCAGAGCAGAGGTGGTACATGAATAAATTTGTCGGGTGAGTGATGAGCGTGTAGGAAATGCAGTGAGCTGAGCCCCCTCCCCTCAGTCCCTGTGGGTTGCTGAGCATCACCTTCAGCCGTTCTCTGGACGCTGATGGCAGATGTTCTCCCTTGAGCAACGCGGCATCAGTGACACCCCGACAGTTCTGCTGTGGTCTGGCTGGTGCCTGCTCATGTGGCACGAGCTCAGCAGCAGGAGCAGCTGAGCCATTTACCGTGTGAAATTTATCCCAGTAACCTGGAGCTTTCGCTGGGAGCGCTCTGTGTGCTTCCAGGGCACTTTTAATGCCCAGACAGTTTTATTCTGCTGCTTATGATTTTTCTTTCTCTCTCTGTAGGATTCTCATGGCTGGTATTCTGCCTTTTGGAGCCATGTTCATTGAGCTGTTCTTCATTTTCAGTGTAAGCATTTAACCCATGTTACTCCAAACAGGATTCCTCTCATGCCAAAGCTGTTGAAAGGAAGGGCTTCCCCCGAGGCAGTCTCCAGGACTTGCTGCGGGGGCTGGCAGGTTCCCCCCAGGCCCTTTGGTTTTGTTTCAGTAGGGAGCTGGGCTGTGGGTCTCTTCGGACTGTCCCCTTGCCAGAGACACCTGGAGATGTCTGTGGGACGCTCCCTGGTGCTGTGAAGGATGGTGGTAAAGATAAAAACCTCACTGTAACGTTATGTCAGGGAGGGCTCCTGGTCGTACGACAGTCACTGAGCCACTCCAGCGGCTCCTGGTTTTTCCCCTTCTATGGACAGGGAGGAATTTGCTGCTCCATTGTGGGGGAGATGGAGGGGAAGGAACGAGCTACCCCAGAGCTGTCTTTGGCACCTTTTTGCAACCTGGTTCCTCTGAAGTACTGTTGTGAGATGCACTAGATCTGTGGTTTCATCTCTGTGAGGCCGAGGGGCCCCTCGTTTTTCCTTGGGTTAGCTGATAGAAGTTAGTCTCGCGTTCACGGATTGATCACGGTGGCACGGAAACAAATTTCTGCTGTGTCTGTTTCAGGCGATCTGGGAGAACCAGTTCTATTACCTGTTCGGCTTTCTCTTCCTGGTGTTCATAATCCTGGTGGTCTCCTGCTCCCAAATCAGCATCGTCATGGTGTACTTCCAGCTGTGTGCTGAGGTGAGGATTCCCCGTTTGCTGTTTCGGTGGCTCAGGGCACACGCTCGCTCCTGGAAAAGCACAGCTCACGCTGCTGCTGCTGAGCAGAAATCCGGTGCAGCCCAGCTTCACGAGCATGGCCGCTCTCAACACCTCTGCACTCCAAGGAGAATTGAAGCTCCTGGGTTATCTGCTGGGAACTGGTTTCACACCAGAAATTATGCTGGGAGCAGGGTATTCTGAGCTGACATCTCTTCCCAAATAACCTATTTCATTCCATCCACGTACAAAATGAAACGCGGGGCCGGCGGTGAGCCGTGCTCGTCGGCAGCAGGTGCTGTGACGCTGCCCTGGCTTTGTGTCACTGGTGGCTTTTCATCCTCTTTGTATGGAAACGCTTCTGTGACAAAGTACTTCCCCAGCCCCAAACTGTGGTTTTCCTTTGAAGGAAAAGGGGGATGTTCTCCCTGTCCCAGAAAGGTGACAGCGCCCCTGGGACAGTGACCCAGGCAAAGGAAGCCTGTGGGTGACGCTGAGGTTTTTACCCCGCCAGGATTACCGCTGGTGGTGGAGGACCTTCCTGGTGTCTGGAGGATCCGCCTTCTACGTGCTGATCTACGCCATCTTCTACTTTGTGAACAAGGTATCCTCATTCCTCTTGTGAGAGTGCCGCCGTCCAGAGGAGACGGTTGGATCTGGGAAGGGACATGGTGGGACTGTCTGGTCCCAGCCTCTCCCCTCGCCTGCCCACAGTCCTTCCAGAGGGGAGGGAAGCCCCTGCCCGCATTCTGTGTGGAGCGGTGTTCCCTCACCCCCCCTGGAAGGGGATGTCTTCAGCTGGTCAAAAATGAACCGAGTGGAGGGTTTTCTCTCCTCCTCTGTGGAATGTCCCCTTGTCAAGGGCGCTGCCTGGTTGGGGAGCTTCTCCGGTTACCTCTGGACTTGATTTCGCTTGTTTTTTCCTCTTCTGTTTCAGCTGGATATTGTGGAGTTCATTCCCTCCCTACTCTACTTTGGCTACACCGCCCTCATGGTCTTGTCCTTCTGGCTCCTCACTGGCACCATCGGCTTCTATGCAGCCTACATGTTTGTCCGGAAGATCTACGCCGCGGTGAAAATAGACTGAAGACGCACAGAGCCAGCAGAAAGCAGACACCTCTGACTGCGTGTCCTCCTGGGAGCCGAGGGGACATCTGCTCCCAACTCTTTTAAGGAAACAAAATCCAGTGGGAGAGTGACAAGAGAAATAAATAACTCCTCATTTTGGAATGTGACTTTGGCACAGTGTACATGGATTCTGGGCTACTTCTGGGGGGAAGAGGGGTCTGTACATACCTTGCATTTTAACTTTATTATCCTGTTCCATATTTGAGGGAGTTTTTTAGCAGAGAAATATCCCTCTGTATAAGTAAACCCCCTTTTTGCTAATTCATCCTTTTTTTTTTTTTTATGTTGATGCCGAATGGATTTGAGACAGCAGTGGAAACACTTGTGAAAACGTTTTCTTCCAGCCCCTAGGGTGCTCTAGGATTCAGGGAGACTCTTCAGACAATACCAGACTGGGTTTTTTCCTGCCTTCGTGTCTGCACAGAAGAGGGAGCTTGTCTGTGGCAGAATGAGAGGAGCCTGAAGGCTTACCCAGCGCGAGCCTGGCGTGCTCTGACCGCAGAAGTCCTGCCTTCGGCTTGTTTACAATTCCATGGAGGTGCCATTCGGAGCCTGGGAAGTGCAATTTCACCCTGAGAGAGCTTGAGAACTGCAGCCCTCGGCATCGCTTCTCCCTCCCTCCAGCAGCACGAGCCGCTTCGGACGCCTGCGCTGGAAGGGCTGAGGGAGGGGGAATTCCTCCCTTTCGGAAAGCGCAGGACTTCACGTTCTGGCGGAAGCGGCGTGATTGCGCTGGTGCTAGAACCCAGGACTGGAAGGATGTGCGAGGTAACACAAGGGTTTGTTCTGTCCGCACGAGGAAGCGGGGCAGCCTCCTCCTGGGACCCCCCCAGATTGCGCGGAGCCCTGCGCAGAGAAGCTGCGGTGCCGCCGCATTAGTGCCAAGCAAAGTGACGCAGCATTGGGCCCCCGCTGCCCTGAGGGCTGTGCAGAGGGGGCTGGGGACGGCCCCGAGGAGCTCTCCCGTGGCCAGCAGCGGGCTGCCTCGCTCCCTGCCCTGCGCTCCAGCTGCTCGTGCTGCTCCTTCTCCTCCTCACAAATTCTCTACCTCCAGGGAACAGAAGACATGTCCACCCCAAGCTGTGTTTTGTTGTTCTCAGAACGGTCCATGCTCTCCGGGACAGCCGACGGGGGCTCTTCTGCAGCGGGCACTTTTTCCGTGGCTCGATGCCTGCATCAGCCCATGGGAAGCTCTTTTTAAAAGAGGTTAAAGTTTTGGGGGTTTTTTATTATTATTTTGGTCGTTTCAATGATGTTTACCCGTAAAAAGGTTCCACGTCACAGTGAAGGCTCCCTCCGTCCCCAGGCTGGCTGGATTCAGTCAGGACTGCAGCGGAGAGGTTTTGGGGTTGGTTTTTTTTTTGTGAGATCTATGAAACTTTTGCTTCTTGCTGTGGTAAGCAGCCAGGTCTCCAAATGACCAGCTGCCACGGGTGACGCCGTTCCAACCCAGACCAGTCCAAAGTCCTCCCTGGTACCAGCACTGACGTGTGCCCCCCTGCGGGGTTTGGGGCTTTTTTTAACCCCAGTTGCCATGAGAATTTCCACCAGTTCCCCGCAGGGACCCGTGTCTCTTCCCGACAGCCTTGCCCCCTGCGGGGAACTGCCTTCCCGGTGGCTCGACTCCTCGGCACCGAGTCTTTCCGGCCTCCAGCCGCCCGTGATGCCAGAGTGGAACCAGCCAGGAATCAAGGGTGGGAGAAGGGAGCAGGGGATGCACGAGCCGCCTGTGCTGTGGAGCCCTGCGGCAGTTCTGATTCGAGATCCCTCTCTGGGATTTTGGTTGATTTTTTTTTTTTTCTCTTTTTTTCCTGCCCCTGCCCCAGTGGAGAGGCTCAGCCAGCATTGATTTCTCTCCCTTCCCTGAAGTGTTTTCTCTGTATTCTTTGTAATTTTTAATTAATGTATGTATTCTTTGTGTCCTATTGTAAATAAATCTGCCATTGTCCTGTTGTCCTGCTTTCCGGAGTTCTCCTGAGCCACCTCTTGGGATTTTCTTTTCACACGTAGCCCGTTGGACACCCGCATGGTCATTGACGTGTGGCTTCAGGCAGAAGCACAGCTTGGAACACGCTGTGGTTTTCTTTCTGATATTTTTCTTCTGCTAACCTTGCCGGAGCGGTAGGTTTCTCCCAGCGTGGCGTGTCCTGTGTGCTGCCGTCTGTTGCAACGAAACGCCACCGGTCAGGGCTGCTGGATGTTTCTTGCCCGGCTGCTCCCCGGGGAGACGCTTCAGCAGCTCAGCTCCCGTGTGCGGAGTCTGTTGTGTGACTTGGGCAGCGCCGAGGAGCTGGGGGGCTGTGGGGTCGGGCAGCTGGAGCGATGGGGAAACACCCGGTGCTTCAGAGCCCCAGTGGTGGGAGCATGGTGAAGACGGGAGCTGCTGTTCCCTTCCTCCGAGCGGGACTGCGAGGTGTGCTGGTGCCGGCCCCTCACCATTGGCCCCCGGTTGGTGTCTGCCCCCGCGCTGGCGTGTTCATTGCGGGAGAGCAGCGGGTGTCCCGTGAAGACGCTGAGGACGGGTCGTGGGTCCCTCTGGTGCGATGGGTGTGCGCGGCTGGGGATGGGGTACGGGGGCTGCTGAAGGTCTGTGACCCCCACAGCAGGCAGATACCGAACCGAAACTCAGAAACCGTGGGAATAGTCCCTCTGCCCTCGGAAAGGGCGAAGGAAGGCTTCAGGACGAGCTGTGCTGGACTTGGGTTTGGTTTTGGGGCAGACTAGAGGTGCCGTGCCGCTGTGGCCGTGGCCCGTCAGCCCTCTGCTCGGGGGGGAAAGTGCTGCTGGGATGTTTCACCAGTTTTCACCTTAAGAATGAAAACTAGATCATGGCTAGAAAAATATCTGAACGCTGAAAGTGGTTATCGGCTTTTACACTGTGTTCTGAAGAGATTCCCGAGAGGACGGGATGCTCTTTGTCCTTTTTCATCCCTCAAAACGCTTCTGCAGCTGCTGTCGGTTCTGGTTCCGCTGCCCTTGTGCGAGGGGGGTCCCGGGGAGCCCAGCGTGCTGGGGTTACTGGGGAGGGGGCTGGGAGTTTTGGTGAAACCAGGCGACCGGGGTTTTCTGTGTAACAAACACCGCTCTCCTCGCCAGGAGATACCGGCTGCTGCTACAGCCCCGCGGGGCCCTGGGTCCTGTGTCTGAGGGTCTGAGTCTTTGCTTGAGAGAAACGTGAAAGTCGGGGGGTGGATGTAGGGAAGTGGGGCTTTGACAGGCCGTGTTGTTCTGTCTGCTTCGTTCCCCTTCAAGAAGACACCCTGGGCAGATAATTCAAATGCTTTTAATAAACAACTTCGTTATAAAAAATTCAGATTTCATTCTGCAAGACAACGAACGCTAATTTTAGTGATGAACTGTACATCTCCTAATGGCACTTAATATTTTAAAAATTCAAAAACCTTGTTTACGGCCCCCAAAATACTCTGTTAAAATAGGTTATTCACTGCGTGTAAAAGTGCTAGAGAGTTTCTTTTTAGAAAAACCAGTTGAGCTTTCACAATGGGAAGCTTCTGGCTTTGGCAGCCGTGGCTGGGGGCAGGGGGGGGGCGCTGGGGCTGCTGGGATCCAGCACAAGGGACACGGTGAGCTGCAGCCCCGGTGACAGCCCCTGAACCTCCCGTCAGCTCCCAGGGCTGATACACCCCAACCCCTTCCCCTAACACCAGGATGGTTGTGGGCTCTGGATCAAATCCTGCCCTCGCTCAGCTGCTCCCGCAGCTCCTGCTGCCCGGGAGAGGGTCCTCAGCGGGGCTTGGGCTGCGGCTCACACTCCAGCAGCACCTTCAGAGCTCCCCTGCTCCTGGGGGGGTCCCCACGGCTCCCACAGAGTCCCTCTTGCAACCACCCAGGTGTCAGACCACCTCGAGCACAGACATCTCTTGGTTTTTGTTCAATATCCTTGTTTAAGGACAATACTGGTACAGATGTTACAGAACTGCCTTTCTAGAAACTATTTTTCAATATTAAGGATCACTAGAGGCGGAAAACCCAACAGCAGTCAGGGCTGAGGCACTCGGGGCCAGGAGCAGTCAGAAACTCCAGGCAGGCTTTGGGCAGGAGCGGGGGAACCGGCCCGTTCCCAGCGCCAGCTCCGCTCCACCGCGCGGGCTCCTGCACCCATTTCAGCCATGTCCTGAGGAGGGAAGGATCGCTGCCGACCCAGCTTCAGCCGTGAGCAGACGGTGAGGGGGATGCTGCAGCCTCCTCCTGACAGCCTGCCTGGGTGTGTAAAGGGAAGCTGAGCTGGTCCCTGGTGTAGATTTGTGGGTTTGTTTGCTGGGTGTTATTTTCTGATCACCCGCGTGGTGTTTGCTCCCCGTTTCCGTGGCACTCGAAGCATTTCGTGGCAAGGGGTCTGCGGAACCGAGTGAAGGTGGCTCCGGGTGCGGGTTGCACCGGGTGCTCTGGGAGAAAATTCCTCTCCTGGAGCCACAGAGGGGCTGACACACGCGGGAGGATTCCCCAGGGATCCGGTCACTCACCAGAATGACATGAGTATGTCCCCGGGTGGGGGGACAGCACGGAGGTGAGCCCCAGGAGGACACAGGGATTGTGGCACAGGGATGGCAGGACACTGGGGGTGTGCGGGGGGAACGGGGGAGGAAGGGAAAACAGCCGGCGAGCGAGCTGTGTCAGGGGTGAAGGAGTGACTCCCTGGGCGGCTTCCAGCTGCTTTGCCAGGGAGGCTCGGTATTGCCAAGGGAATTATACAATAATAATAATATAACAATCGGTATTACCCATGGAAACGGGCTCAGAGAGGCCGAGAGGTGGCAGGGACCGGGCAGGTGTCCCAAGTCCTGGCCCAGGCTGAACCAAACCACCTTCTGCCGGGCGGGACGCAGGCAGGGCTGAATTCAGAGCTTCAGATGGCGACTCCCATCTCTGAGAATTGGGAAAAATACCAGAAATGTTATGAAAAAGAAGCAAATTTTGGATAAAGATGGAAGTGAAGGGTTCAGCTCAAGCTATTCATCCCCTTCACTCTGCACAAGCAAACACCTCCAGGGCTCAGGCAAGCAATTAACTGAAAATAGGCACCCAAGGGAGGGTTCAGCGAGGCTGAGGAACCAGGATTAGAGAGGATAAGCAGAAGGCAGGGTGATGGGGAAAGGATCTTTGAAGATTTCTTTGTAAAAATTTTAATTGCAGGCAGTAGAAAATGCCTCTGTGGGGTTATTCTTTCCAGATAGCAAAGGTGATGCCATGAGCTGCAGGAAATCTTCCAAGCAGCTGCTATTCACCTGTCAGCAAGGAAGGAATCAGAGAACAAAGAGCTGAACTCCCAACAGAAGTACTGAAACCATCAATCTACTGGAGGGAAAAAAGGGATTCCCCTTGAAGTGACAGCGTTTGTCCACCCTGAGGCTGAGCAGCGGGCAGGACCTAGGCAGCTGGGCAGGGTCTGCCAGAACGCTGCGCGTGGATGTTCTGTCAAGAGAAATTCAGCGCAAGCAAATGCAAGTGACGTGTTGTTCCTTCATACCAATGGATTTGAAGTGAGCTGTAATCCCATGGGGAAAAATGATCTTCAGGCTTTCACACAGCTCAGAAACCCGAGCCTGGGAAGGACTCAGTGCGTTAACCCTCTGTGGCCACAGAACCAGCTCGTCTTGTGGATTTTCTAACGAGCGAGCTGTTCTCATCCTTATTTCTAGAGGGATGTTGTGTCCTTGCCTTTAGGAGAACCTGGGGTCTGCTGGTGTGTTTGTGTCCTGCCCGCTCCCAGACCTGAGCGCTGTGATTTTATATTTAGTCAGCTGCACTGTTCCTAGCCCCCAGGTCAGACACACTTTAAAACATTTTTTCACTTAACGAAACCCTCCTGGCCAATTATTTGCCATGGTGGCTCCTCTGGGGCTCAGTCTGATGCCCCTTTCTGACACAGCTGTGCCTGGGCTACCAATACCGTCCCGGGGCTCTGCCACTGAAGCAGCCCTTCACCGAGCAGGTCAAACGCTCCACAGCCCCGGCGGCCACCTCGTGCGCTGCTCACGGGATAAGAGAGAGACTTTGATGGGCGTAACGTTTGTTACAGCTGAGTTCCGTCCTTCTGTCGTGCGTTCATGCAGCTGGTGCTCAGCGCTCGCACCTCAGTGCCTCCCCGCTGCCCTGGCTCGGTGCGTCCAGCCCCGCTGCCTCCGGAGGCTGCAGCAGTATCGCTGCGGTTCTGTTCCCGGAACAGCTGTGAAAGCAAATCACACGTGCAAAGCATGGCAAAATGAATTCCGTTTATTCTTTGACAGGCTACTGGTAGGAAAAAGATGCCTGGTTCTAAGTTCAGCTACCACTGCTAAAGGAACTCCAGTGACGGCATCTGTTCGGGGACAAGGCAGGCAAAAAGCATGGGAGCTGAACGTTTGACGCAGGAGAAGGTGTAGATGGCATTGCATACATCTGCTAACCCTGGCTTGCAGTAAGCCATCACTTCTGACCATTTATTACTAAAAAAAAAAAAAAATCTTCTCAAGTGAAGACAGGGATAAGGCTTGTGTGTAAGTGGTAACAGTGTGAAACTCTTTAATTGCAGAGAAAAGCAACAGAAGACAGGCCTGAGGTATTCAGTGAGGTAAAGAGGAGCTGAACTGCTCCGCTTACCTCTTCTGTGACAGAGAACAAGAAGGCACTCGTTGGGCTTCGAAAGGCAACATTTTACAGTGGAGAAAAGGAATTACTGCATTCATCTCAGGGAGATCATTGCCACAGGATATTGCTGAGGTAAATAAATCTTATCTTACATTTTGATACAAAAGTCGGATTTGCAGCATCGCTGGCTAACCTAAAACAACTGATCTATGTTCTGAAGAGTCAGTGGGTCACTAAACAGTCATTCTGGGAAGAATTACTAAGCTAAATTAAAAATAAAATTCTTGAGTAAAGTGGAAGGGGGAGCAGCCTACAGAGAAATGAGGCACGGCGTGTCACGCTGCGGGATCGACGGCTCAGCAGAAAGTCATGTGTGCTGACGGAGACGGGTGTGCTCTAGGGAGGGGGGGACAGCATCTGGCGTCGCTGAAGGAGCTGAGATAACAGAGCAGAGGTAGATTTTGCATTTTCTAAATTTACGGAGAACGATATTGAGAGATTTCCTGGTTTACAGTGGCCCACAATAGTTCCGCCATGCTGAGGGTGAAGATCTGCGTGTCTATAGTCACAAACACGCACCAGCGCATGGCAAGACCGACCTCTGGACCTCAGCAGCTGCAGCACAAGTGCCCGGGACAAGGGGAGCTGGAGACAGGCAGACGCTGAACGCCACCAGCAGCTCGCTGCCCCTCCCCGTGCGACCCTCCAGCCCTCAGCAGGCGGACAGGCCATGGAAGAATTTCAGAGGCAGGCAGGGAGCAGGGGAAGCAGGACTTTAACTGCAGGAGGCAAGGCTCAAGAAGGAGAGAAGAAAAAGGCCGGTGGAACCAAACCCTAAGTGAGAGGGTGACTGCAGGCCCCAGCCCTCGGCCTTTGCTGGAACTCTTAGTGTTGGGGAAATGCTTCAAATACACCCCGAGAGAGTACGCGAAGCTGGGACCAATTTTTCCTCCTGACTCCTAGATGTTACCACCCTAGGACTGAGGTAAAGATATATCTCTTGAGACTGCTTCCTGGATAAGCCCGAAGTGTACTGACCTCACTGAACTGTTGTACAAAACCCCAGAAACTCCTGCTCTGCTCCTCATCTCGGGGGAACCTGCGCAGCGGGGGTCTGCAGCCTCATCTCACCCATGCCTGCTGCCACAGGACTGGATGTCGAGGGCCCCGGGCTCCTAACCTGGCTTTCTCAAACGCTTTGGTTTCCAGAACAGAGGCACCATTTGTTTGCCTGTGGAAGAGATGGAGAAGGGCTTCAGCCGTACACCACAAAACGAGCCAAGGTATGAGTGCTGCTCCAGCCCCTCGACACGGGAGAGGCAGAGAGGAAAGGCGGGAAGCTGCTGCCGGCAGCGGCAGGGGCTGAAGTGGTCCGAGAGCAGTGTGTTTCCCCATGGGGGAAGAACATGATACTGAAGAGAAGTCAGTGCGACCTGACTTCATTGTGTAAACAGTGTTCTAGCGGCACCAGAGGTAACCCCAGTGTACTCCAGTGCCTCCTATTTTCCTAATGGCAGAAACAGGTTTGTGCTGTGTAAACAATGTTCACTGTGACGAGTTTAACCTATCGGCTCCGCAAAGAAGGATGAGGTGACGTCTCCGAATTCGCTATGTAAACGGTCTTGTTGGGTAACACTGATGTGGAGTAAGCTGTTTTCGGTGGTGGGGTGAGAGGTAGTGGGGAAGGACGGCCTCTTCCCCATTGGCTTCATACAGAGCAGGTATCCTGACTTCTCCTCCTCCTCCGGGTGGAGGTGTTGGCTGGTTTTGCCAGAATTGCAGTGTGATAACATGAAATGGAAGCTGGACTCTTCAAAAGTTTAGCCCAAGATGAAAGAGTCTCAACTCCTTCTCAGGGACAGTTCCCTTCCCAGAGAGGAACGTAGCTCCAGGATTTCAGGGAAGGTCAGTGCTAAGCTCGGCTCCTGATTCACAGATTAAAAATTAGATAAAATATATCCAGTCTATTAGCTGAAATCTTTTCGCTGTACAGGACTGGGACTTGCACGGGGCTATCTGCTGTTCCAGTCTACAAGTGCTCCCTCCAGAGATCAGAAACCTCCTGGCTGAAACAGCTTGGCAAAGCTTCCGCACCCCAAAGGGAAGGAAGAGTTGTGCGTTTTTAAGGCTCTCCGCAAAAGGGTGACGGAAAGGTCTGTTCTCCAGTGCTGCTTTCAGCTTACTGGAACGCCTGGTGGAAACGTGGCAGCGTGGTTGTGCTCAAGCTGGAGGTGAAGACAGAGGGCAACGAATGAAGGGGCCCAAAGTTCAGCGAGGCCCCAGCTCCAGGAGATTCTTGAGGTTGGTGTTGCAAAGTGGTAAGCAGTGGCTGCGTCTCCCCCTGCGAGTAGCCCATGACCAATCCCCCTGACGACACAGGTGGATTGCAAGGAGGAAGATTGAGGGGGAGGAAGCCAAGAAGATGAGAGAAGTCCATGTTAGCAGCACAGAGAGCCTCTGAGAGGTTAGCAGGGCTCTTGGAAAGCAAAGCCTCATCCAGGGGAGGGGGCTGAGGCGAAGAGGACTGAGGCTCACCAGATGAGAGAGACAGGCTGCCAGGGAAGTCTGACAAGAAGCTGTCCACCTCTACTTTGGGAAGTTTCTCAGGCAAATATGAGGTAGATCCAAGTGGATACTTTGGAGGAGGTTGCGGTGGGGAGGAGATGGGAGAAGAAGACTCCAGAGGATAGTTCATTCCCATGGGAAGAGAATTAGGAACCAAAGAATGGGGCATCCCTGAGCTTGGCATGGTTTGGAGATGCGTGCTGTACATGCCCACCGGCAACATGCCAGGGAAGCTCTTACCACCTATCATGTCTCTGGAGGCCATACACAGGACGGGACTCAGCTCCTCTTTCACTGCGACAGACGAGCTGCAGCTTAGGAGACCCAGCATGTCCACGGGCTCTGTCTTAATCTTCAGCAGCTCCTGGGAGTGGCTCTTCTTCATGTGCCGGGTCAGATGGTCTTTCCGCCCAAACCTCTGAGCGCAGTACTGGCACAAGAAGTCCTTCCGCCCCGTGTGCACGACCAAGTGTCTCCGCACATCTTTCCGGGTGTAGAAGCGTCGATCACAGTGGTCACACGGATGCTTCTTTTCCTTCGCTCCGCCAGAAGCCCGCCTGGAATGAGCTTTGAGGTGCTCCAGCAGGACTTGGGTACTTTCAAAGGTCTGGAGGCACACCTTGCAGCTGAGATCGCCGCTGGCAGCTGCGTGCATGGCCAGATGTCGCCTGAAGCCGAGTTTCGTGTTGTAGTTCTTGCCGCACTCGGGACAATGGAGGGCCTCCTTGTTGGGATCGTGGGTCTGGAGGTGGTTGCGCAGGTGGTCTTTCCGGTGAAACATCTTCTCGCAGTACATGCACTGGTGAGGCTTCTGAGCAGAGTGCGTGGCCATGTGCCTTTGGGAAGAAAAACAGGAAAGTTTAGACTAGTGTCCAACCCCTACGACAATATTCACTACTTTTTCAAAATTTTCCTTGTGTTCCACACTTCATGCCATGAAAACCCCAGATGGCATTTTACGGCCACTAAAGGCTGTGCCCAGCAGCACAACATTTCCCAGAACATTCACAGATTCTGTCTCAGCGCTGCCCGTCCTCCCTAGAACGCGTCACCCCCGCACAGGTACGCTTCAGCCATCTACTCGGCTCCTGTTCTCTCTGCTGAGGCTATCAAAGGGGGAAACACCAAAGAAAACCCGGGCAGTTTACGACAAGAAATGCTTCTCTGCTGGTGAGATGGCTTCATTTCATCAGTCGGCATCAGACTGCGGCACTGTCTGTTGACAGCCGCTGTGGACTGATGTCACCTTTGGTATCTCACACTCTCTGGTTCATCTAGTTTCAAGTTTCTAGTGATGATATAGTTTAATCATTCTCTGCTGCATTTCAGCAGATAAATGGGAACTCTACCTCTTCATGCTAGAACAATAGCTGCCACAGAAATATTCCTGTGATTAAAGTTAGAGGTAAGGCTTACGAAATGTTAATGCCATTCTTGCTTTTCATTTTGTTTTTTAACCTAAGAACTTCACTTTCTGCTTCAATTTCCTCCTTAGTAAAACAGAAAACATCCTGAGCTCAGGATAAAGTATTCTCTGAGGTTCTCGGGAAGGTGCTTAAAGAGACACCAAGTATGGTAACGTCTGTGACTCAACTGCTCTGCAAGGTAACAAGGGCATTTCCCCTCCTCCACCTTCTCAGAAATTCAAGCAAAAAAACACCATGGAGGGGTTTTCCTCTCTCTTCTGGCAGGGGAGCAGTTCGGCAGAGGCGCTCGGCAGTTACCTACCTGTACAGCTTGTACTTGGAAGCAAAGGCTTTGCCGCAGTGCAGCTGCGGGCAGTTGTACGGTCTCTGCTCGGTGTGAGACAGCGTGTGAGTTCTCAGCTTCTCCACATTAGTGAAGGAGGTCTCTGATATTTCACACTGGCATTTTCCCTGACTTTCGGTCTCTTCACCTCTTGGTCTGGGGGCTAATTTCCAGCCTGTCTCTTCCTCCTCCTGCTTTGCATCTTGAATCCAGTTGGGAACACTGGGAAAAAATGCCGTCATGGCAGGTCTAGTAGAACGTGGCCATGTCAAGCAGAACTCCAGCCTGCAGGTGTCTCGCCCCGGTGCAGCCTTCTGGTGGAACCCTCTGCGACCAAACTGCTTCAACAGCAAAACTTCTTCATCTGAAATGACAGAAGGTTGCTGGTAAGACACTGCATCTTTCACCCGCACACACAAACACAGGACGTTAAACTTTTTATAAATTATGTTTCTGCAACTATGAAGAGCCGGTGTTACCTGTTACGTGCCTTTTCTCTTGAACTATTGCAGAAAGGTGTCTCTTTATGCCCCTAAACACCTCACCTTTCCCCGGGTGTACTGTGGATTGCTTCTCATCCCCTTTTTTCATGTTCTTCACAGTCTGTTCTCACTTGTTCTTGATCTTTACTTACATGAAATTTCCCTCTAGAGCTTCTCAGAGAAACTAAGCTTCTCTTGTTTTGTATTTTTTTTCATCCACTCTGCCAACAACCTGATGCACCAGTAAGACCATCTCCCAGCAAACCAATCAAGATGTCAACAGGGCTGGGGAAGAAAACTTGCTGTTATCAGCACCACCACACCTTTTTCAGGAAGGCAACAAATGCTGCTTCTCTTCAGGCTGTGATTACTCATTTATTTTCACTTTTTTACTGTGGGGCAAATTCTGCCTCTCTGGATTAGCAAGTTTTCTACAGTAATGAGCAATTATTTTTTTCATTTACACTCTCATCCATTGACAATGGAAGCTCAAACTGTTTCCTGTTCAACAAAATCTACCTCCTCTATGCTCTGCTGGCTTTCACGTTCATGAAAATCACGTTCTTCAGTTGTGCTTGTCTTGTTGCTAAAGGACTGCCTGTTCATAGGGTTCTACCAACACCCAAACTGGTGAACGGTTAGCTGCACTAAAAACCTCAGAAAAGATCTCTTTCACTGAATTCAGCTGCCTGAGAAACTGTTCTTAAAATAGCATCAAACCCTCAAGCTCTTTCTCCCTCCATGATTGCTTCAGAGGGAGGAACTTCCTGCCTGCACATCAACACGAGTGCCAGTTGTGGGCAGGATGTGCAACTGCGAGGGAACAGACCCACCCCCTGAAGAAAGTGTCCCACCGAATGCTATGAAGAGCTGAGACAACAACAACCGCAACTCCACCATCCCTCACAAGCCAGGAATGGTTCCCTCAGGATGGAAAACACCAGGAAACGGGACAGCTCCAGGAAAATGCCTCACTAGGAGGTTTGGAAATGTCCGTTAAGAACAGCATTCAGTTTTGTGCAGCTGAATCAGAACAATAAAGGAGGAGAACTGCTGAGGTGCCACTTTGGTACAAGCCAGGGTGACGTGACAGCTGCTCCGACCCCTCGGGGTGCAGGAGTCCTGCGGCTCAGAGCAGTCCTCCTTTGTAGGTGCAAAGATGGTGAACATTTCAGCTCTCTGAGATGTGTGCTGGAAAAGAGAAACGTTCTCTACCTCCTGTTTCAGAGCTGCGCACGCGTTCTGGGAGCCTCTGCCGCTTTCGCCAGGTAGTTGCTTCTTTCCCTCTGAATGAGCTCAGCCATCGGTGCCAGTTTCAGCGCTACCTGAAAGAAGACAGAGTTTGAACTCGCTGTTTCTGACAGTAAAGCACAGAAACTATCGCCTTCCGAGTGGAAACCCAAACCCAAGTGAGTCAAGGCATGGTAATTTCTGTAAGTGATTACTGTAAAATTTCAATAACTTTCTGTTAAAATTTTAAGGTTCTAGGAAGAAAAAGGACTCCACCAAGTCTAAGTGCGTGCGGTAGGACAACAGCAACTGGGGAATAAGAAACAAGATGAGGGTCTTGCGTAGTATCAGTGATGCCCAGTACCAGCGGGAGGTCAACAACATAGCTCGTGCTTGGCTACAACACTCTCTGATCTATATATTTACGTTAAAAAAACCCTCAATTAGTTATCTTAGCAATGTTTCCCCAGACATTTCCCTGTTCACTATAACTCTGTAGCTCAAGCAGAAGTCACCAGCTACGAGGCAGAAAGCAGAGGCCAGAATTCACCGTGGGCACTTGGCCTCAGCCCAGCATCGCGCCCCAAACCGGGCACCGGCTCGGGGTTGTGCCTCAAACACGGCACCGGCTCGGGGTCGTGCCTCAAACCCGGCATCGGCTCGGCGTCGTGCCCCACACCCAGCCCCCGCAGCAATCCCAGCTCAGTGTCAGCCCCAGCTGGGCACAGGTGAACTTGGGCATTTATTGACTCTCCTCCACGATGAGGCGTGACCACAGCCCCTTAAACCGCTGCCCCGGCGTCCCTCAGAGCAGGGCTGTCACGGCCTCCACGCAGTGTGACAGAATCACCCCCTGCTTTTCCCTGCAGCATCCTAATCGGGTCCAGCTCCAACCCCAGCCCCAGGGCTCTGCTGCCACACCTCAGATCACTTTGTGACTTTCCCACATCATCTGCCACTTTCCAGTATATAATTTTTTTTTAACTATAGGGGGGGAAAAAAGCAGATACCAGACCTAGACACAGTTCTTCAGCACCAGCCTGGCCAGTGCCCCATCTGGGTGTAAAAATCACTCTCCTACCTCCTCATGCTCTTGGCTTGACCCTTTCTGTTACAGTTTTCCTACAGTCACAAGCACCAACTCACTTGTCATTACAGTTCCTGATCTCCCCCGTGAAAACCATTATTTAAGCCTCAGTATCTGTTTCCCTCGCTCAATCACTTAGAGATTTTTTAAAAACTTTGTGTAAAGTTTACATTGACTTTTAAAACCCAGGGAAAAGCTGCTGCCCCTTTCCCGTAGGATCCATTCCCAGGATGACCTTCCCCTCCTTTGCACCTCCACTGCCCTGACACGACACCGACCGGCATTTCAAAAGCCCGAACCCCTTCCCCGCACCACCAGGAAAGCCCCAGACACCACCAGGA